TCTTACATAATCTTGCATAAATCGGGTAATCTCATTGTTGGTTTTGGCAAAATCAACATTTTAGGCACCCAATTCATAATTCTAACAAAATTATTAACAAAAATTGCTAAAATCAACATTTTTATCGCTTAAATGGTAGCCCTAGCATAATGGTCACCTAACTTTTTAAGTTGCTCATTCATAACTCTTCAGTTTGTTTAGATTAATAGAAATATCAAACACATCTTAAAAATATACTCCCCCTATTCCACTATATTAGTCATTTTAGGTACAAATTTTTGTTCCTATTTATTTTTCATTTTGAGTAAACCAAGATCACTTTAATTTTGTTTCTTTTCAACTTTACCCTACAATAAACACTTAATGACTCTAAACTTTATTATTTAAAAAAAAACAAAGATCTCCACTTTCCTCTGTTTCATATACAGCACTTCTTTTTGGCTTATGAATCTCTAAAACTCTTCAAAGTGGCTATTTAGTTTTCCTTATAATCTCAATACATCAAATTTACTATTAGTGACTTTAAAATTTTCTATTTAACAATGAAAGAAAAAAAAAAAAAAGACAAGAGAAAATATAAGGATAGATGGAGTTTTATATAAATAGAAGATTGAGGGTGAAGAAAAGGGCAAGATGGCACTTTTATTTTATTTAACAATGAAATTAAAAATAAGTAATTATTTTCTTAATTCTCATACATAAACTTAAAATGATTAATATAGTGTAACAGAGGTAGTAAATTACTAGCTCCTGCGGTGAAAGAATTGAAAGTCTAAATTTAGTTTAAAATTACAACTACTTTCCTATTGGTTAAGGCTCCTTTAAAGAATTCATTGCCTCTAATGTAATCATTGTCATTAGATGACGAGAAGAGTCATCGACAACATTTTTCTACCATAGGATTCATCCATTAGTAATAAAAATAATTTTTGTACTCCAATTTCTTGGTGAATTTTACACATAAAAGTTACTTATCTAAATTTTAGGTGTGTCTCTGTTAATGTTATTCTAAACAGCAAGTTGCTAATGAACATGCACTTTCGAAAAGATAAATGACCATTTTATTATATTTATAAATATGTTTGTTTAATTTATATTCTTAAAGTA